TATTTTTACACTGGATCAGCCTGGACAATTAAACTAACAAGTTCATGTTCAGCTTCTCCTGCACACATACGATGTTCCAATGTCTGGGTTATTACAGTGAAACACACCTAGCTCTGTAGACGTACACAGCACTTTACAAACACATGGGCTCAGGCAAACTTTCACTGGATGAAGTTCTCCCACTTTCTTTCCAGGAGGCCACTCACATGAGTAACAGCTACATGAGTAATACTTTGCAGGATCGGGCCCATAGATAAATCACGGGCCCGTAGATAAACCACAAAAAGCTTTGCAAATACTGTTAGGGGAGGTTTAAATCCGCAACAGGGAATTGTTGTCACTGGAAATCAGACAAAAACAGTCACAAAAACATTTCCATTAGTCCTAGTTCTGGTAATGTCCTTTTTAAACCACAAATCTAAGGCCTGGTCTACACTAACCCCCCAAGTCGAAGTAAGGTACGCAACTTCAGCTACGTGAATAACGTAGCTGAAGTCGACATACCTTACTTCGAACTTACCGCGGTTCAGACGCGGTCCACACGCGGCAGGCAGGCTCCCCCGTCGACTCCGCGGTACTCCTCTCGTTGAGCTGGAGTACCGCAGTCGACGGCGAGCACTTCCTGGTTCGATTTATCGCGTCCAGACCAGACGCGATAAATCGAACCAGGAAGTTCGATTTCCAGCCGCCGAACTAGCGGCTAAGTATAGACCAGCCCTAAGAGCCAACAATATTTAGTGCTTTTCATTTCTATATCTCCAAGCGTTTTACAGAGGAAGGTCAATATTATCCCCACCTGGAAAATGGGAAACTGAGGCACGGTGTGGAGCGGTAACTTCCAAGGCCACACAGAAACTCAATGGCAGAACTGGGGAAAGACCTAAAGTCTCTTGACTTCCAACCCAGTCCCAAAGGAGTTCTTTGTATTCTGCTGGGGGCAGGGGAGTTGCAGAGAAAGGAAAGAAAGCACCCAGATAGCCAAAGAGATCCCTTTGGAGTCATTGCCTGGGTCCTGGCATTGTGATCGGCAGACATTGCAGACTGCACCTTTCAAGCATCTGAAACTGACTGAGCAGGCGAAGCAGGTGTCTTCGGTTTTATTGAGCAGAAAGCAAGCAGTGCGGAGAGATGGAATGCAACGGTAACAAACTGGCCTATGAATTGAGGTAGTCCTTGCAGCAAAGTGTACAAACCACGGTCTTTATGTAAAAAATGAATTGTTGGCTATACAATAGATACATGACAACTTGTAAACGGCAAACCTGCAGAGGTTTCTGGGCAATGCCCAAAATAGCTGGACAGATAAGAAACAGCTGAATTTCTGAAACAGTTTTCAGAAATCACTGCCGGCCGTTATTTTGGGATCTCTATTCAGCCGTCCTCTCCGCTACTGGGGAGTGCGCATGATACCACACTGCACTTCTCCGCATGAGGCCCGGCCAAATGATGCATAGTAGGACTGAGAAAATTCAGCTCTTTAGAAAGCAGAGAAACCAGAACAATTCCAAGATCAGAACAGCTGGGAAATGAGCCCCCTGACTTCCGAACGCTTTCCAATGGGACATGAATTCTCTCAATCCGATTTTGCACCACAACAAGGCTGCCGAGACAGCAGTTTCCTCTAGGAGTGTTAATTGCACCTCGGAGACTTTAAAGCAGGAGTAGGCAACCTATGGCACGCGAGCGGATTTTCAGTGGCACTCACGCTGCCCGGGTCAAGACCACCAGTCCGGGGGGCTCTGCATTTTAATTTAATTTTAAATGAAGCTTCTTAAACATTTTAAAAACCTTATTTACTTTACATACAACAATAATTTAGTTATATATTACAGACTTTTAGAAAGAGACCTTCTAAAAACATTAAAATGTATGACTGGCACACGAAACCTTACATTAGAGTGAATAAATGAAGACTCGGCACACCACTTCTGAAAGGTTGTCGACCCCTGCTTTAAAGAAACATTATTTAGTGATCAACTGAGCTCTGCAGTTTGATGCAGTGACCACATTACATGGAGTTTTCCTTTCAACTCAATTTGATTGTCCATCAGGAATAGCTTTGTGTAGAGAATTAGGGAATCATTCCCACTTTCAACGCTTCCTTATTTGTTCTGTAGTTTTAGAGAGGATGGGAAATGTTATTTGTTGATGGACCTGAAGTATCATGAAGCATAAAGGCGGAACACAAGCTACATACAAGAGCAACAGCAGTCAGGAGATCTGGAGTACCTCTACACTGGAAAAATATGCCCCCAGCCAGCGCGTCTCAGGGTTTGTCTACACTGCAAAAAAACAACAACAAAAAAACACGCCAGCCCCCAAACAACACACACAACTGGTGGTACAGTCTCAGAGCCTGGATCCACTGACTAGGGCTTGCTGGGCTAAAAATAGCATTGTAGATATTCAGGCTTGGACTGGAGCCTGGGCTCGGAGACCCACCCTGCTCACCGGGTTTCAGAGCCCGGGGTCCAACGTCTACCCTGTTATTTTTAGCCCGATAGACAACTGGGGCTCTGAGATGAGTCTCGCTACTGCAGGCTTCCCGCCCCCACCCCCTTCTCTTCAAGTGTTGATAAACCCCTAGAGTGTATTCCTGACTCTTGTGGCTGACTCGCTGTGTGACCCTGGAGAAGGCCCATCTGTGCCTCGGTTTCCCCATTTGTAAAATGGAACGTACATCTACCTCCTGGGTGGGAGGGGTTTGCGGTCTTAGCTCTTCGCTGTTTGCAAAACACTTTGAATGAAGGGTGCTTTACAACTAACAATCCACCTGTTACTGCTGCTACCCTTGTGAATATTTGTAAAGGGACAGAATCCTGTGCAAGTTGGAATGGTTTTTGGACATCAGCTTGTTCCACTTGTGGAACTGAGTCAGGTTGACACTTCTGCTGCTGGGAGGGAGCAAAAACGGGATGTGGCACAAAAGATCCGTATCACACTAAAACCCAGAGAGGAAGCAAGCAGGAGAACAGGGCTGAGAGGTGCACATGGGCTTGGCAGTTTACAGAGCCTTATCAGGTCAGGTACACACTGGAGTCTCCTCCCCAGAGCACCTCAGCTTCATTGCTTTCCTGGGGAAGGGGCCATGAACACAGCCAGCTGAGCCACTCCAAGAAATGTAACACCACGACACAGAAGTGGGGCAGCGGTTAAAGGCAGAACAATGAAATGATCCATAAGAACTCCTGCACCCACCTCTGCACCGTTACAACACAGTCGCCCCCTCCCCAACATAGCCGCAACACTCATTGAAACACTTCTCTTGTAGCGTAGGCAGGAACCAAAAACATGTCCCCCACACGGTTCCCTTTGCTCTTTGTCGGGCTGTAGCCCAGTTCAGGAGACACAGCTAAGAGCCCACTTACACCACAAGATGGAAACCTGTCTCACCTGTGTCAGGGAACAGCCAAACAAGTGATGGCTGTAGCATGAACAGAATTCTACAACGGGGTGAAGCAGAATCAAGAGAGGCCAAATCCCTTGATAGAACAAGGGACCAAGTGCAGCACTTCTGCTCCACCTCGGCTACTCCCTTGAAAACATTCGGAAGCTGCCCAAAAGCCCCCACCAGAAAGTGACCTCAGTGGAAAGGGGAGAAACCAGAAGCCCCAAGCAGCCAGCCTTCACGAGGCAAGCCTCCGACTGTGTTTGCCAAAAATGACGTTTTTGCTGTGCTTTCAGTCCTGCCACGTCAGACAGACGCTGCTCGTGGCTAAGGCTAAGATCTTGTCATGGTTATTTTTTAGTAGAAGTCACAGACAGGTCATGGGCAATGACCAAAAATCCACGTGACCTGGTCCTGACTTTTATTAGAAATAACTATAACAAAATGGGAAGTGAGGAGGGTCCAGTACCCACGGCCGCTGGGGCTTCTGGGTCCCCCCGCTGCCACTGCCAGCTGCGGGGTCCCCCTTGCTGCCCAAGGCAGCTGGGAGCGGCAGGGGGACCCCTTGGTGCAAGCCCCAGCCCCTGCCGCTGGTGGTGGCTGGAAGCTGCAGGGAGGGCTCTCTGCTGCCTGCATTGGTTCGGAGCTGCAAGGTCTCCCCGCTACCCACGGCGGCTGGGAGCTGTGGGGTCCCTTGCTTCCTGGCAGCTGAGAGCTGCTGGGCCCCTGCCAGCTGACACCTCCAGCGGAAAATGTCACAGAGGTCTCGAAGTTATGGATTCCGTGACCTCCGTGACAAAATCTTGGCCTTACTCACGGCATGAGAGCACATGGAGAACGAACTGCGTCTCTGATTATCCAGCCACACCTCAGCATTTAACCTTATAAAGCTGGAGGCTCTGTCCAATAGAATGGGTCAAATTCGGCAGTGGCATCACTCCACTGACTTCAGATACGCCAGAGGTGAATCTGGCTCGGTACCTTCAAAGGCGAGCAGCACAAGAAAAACAACGCTGGATTTATGCGGTTTCCGTTTTTTAAAAAATTCTTTGTGCTGATTAAAAAAAATATGGGAAGGTCTTTTGATTCATAAAAACTAAACTTAGAGCTGTCAAGGAGGGACTTTCCTGGATGACTTACTGGCAGTCTCAGACGCATGCCGGGAGCACTCTCGGCCCTTCGTTGAAGGGACGGGGTTCTGAACACGACTCTTTTACAGCTGGCTGGTTTGGGGGGGGCTTCTGTGTTAACTCAGTTTTAAACTGCCTGAATAAAACCCTGTCCCTTCCATTAACCACCTCCCCCTTCCTGGAATGCGCCACATCAGAATCCTACCACGTTCTCCAGGAGCCCATAGAGACTTCTAGAGAAGACCTGGCCTAGATTTCTAATGTGAAAAAACAAGCGGGGAAGGAGAACGCAATAGCTTCCTTCCAGGCTGCCTTTATCCATCACAAAGCAGCCAGACAGGGAACAAACTCCATTTTTTTCTTTCCTTTATCATATCCAACCACTGTTATGTGGGTCTGGATTCAAATGCCTGCTACATGGCAAATTCTAGCAGGTTAGACTATGCTCTCTCGAAGGCCCTAAATGCAATCGGTTTCTGTACCTGACTCCGTTCGATGCCGACAGTCCTGGGCTCGGGGCTCCGGCTCCCACAGGCTGAGGCAGCGCCCATGCACTCTGTGTATTGAGTCTCGGCGCTGACCTGGCTCCAGACAAGGTTGGTTTGTTATAGGGCACAAAGCCGAGACCAGAAGAGCTTAGTGCAGCTGTTCGACTGGAAACCTGTGGCACGGCCGATGAACTGGGGAGGTTTATCATGGAGTGCCGATAGCGCGTGGTGATGGGGCCAGTTCCACTATTCAATAAGCACTGTTGACAAGAACAAGCCACTGCCGTGTGAAGGGGCCCCGTGGCAGTGGTCACCGGATACGGGGTGTCCATGCGCCTCTGAATACCTCGTTGGAACCTGGAGGTCTTGTTGGTCTGGACCAGCGATACAAAATCAATGTCATAGTTGTAGCCCAAGGAGCTCAGGTCTACATGCCGAAGGCCATGCGTGAAGGCTTGCTCCAGGAACACACAGACCTTCATCTCATACGGAGACCACCCGCCTTCGTCATTCTGCCACTCCCACACGATGCCCTGCCCGGCCGCGGAGTCTTGAGCGAAGAGGTGTCTGCGGACGGATCGCATGGTTCCTGGTTCAAGAGAAACAGACACTGGACGTCAGTCAAAACCACGCAAAAACATGGCAATGCAGTATCTATGGAGAAGCGGCACCCTAGGGTGCTTTAAAAGTGCTTAGGGGAGTCAAGCACCCAACTCCCTTTGACTTTCCATAGGAATTCTGCATCCACTTCCTTAGGGCACTGTAGGAAATCACACGCAAAAGGGACAGTGGAACTTTTCTGAAGTGACCACCAAAGGGCCAACCACCCAGGTCTGGTTGCTTAGTAGATGTGGGTCTTTCAGAGATTGAACAATCCTGGGAGATGCTTTGAAATGGCCACTTTGCCAGGTACCGCACCCACACATACACACGTGTGTGCAACAGTCCGGGAGAAAGTCAGAGGCAAACCTGGGAAAGCAGTTTGAAAAGTCTAGAGAGAGCAGCTGTTCATACAGAGGGAAGGGGAACAAAACCACAGCAGAGTTGCTGGTTCAAGGGTTATTCTAGACCAGCAGCGGGAGCTAAAGCCTGCTCACATATCAAAGGCTCTGCTTCCCAGCAGCAAAGTGATCTGAGAAGCACATTTCCCCTGGTTATTTTTATTAAAACCTGCTCAAGGAGGATAGAAACCAACCAATAAAAAAGGGGAAATTAAAAGTCAGCAAAAATGTCTTCCCCCAGCAGGGACTGAACCAGCCCGGGCACCGGCAGCATCAGAGGGGCCCCCAGAACTCCGCTCCTCCATGGTGCTAGTGTCTTTGGGGATGCACACCTAAGGGGGAGGCCCAGGGAGGCATGAGCAAACCTTCACGGAAGGCTTTTCTGCAGCTGCAGAGCTTGTACAGGGGAAAATGTTCAAAAGCACCCAAGTATCAGAGGGGTAGCTGTGTTAGTCTGGATCTGTAAAAGCAGCAAAGAGTCCTGTGGTACCTTATAGACTAACAGACGTATTGGAGCATGAGCTTTCATGGGTGAATACCCACTTCATCAGACGCAGACATCACATGCTTCTTACGAAGTGGGTATTCACCCACGAAAGCTCATGCTCCAATACGTCTGTTAGTCTATAAGGTGCCACAGGACTCTTTGCTGCAAAAGCACCCAAGTGGCTCACAAGCCTAAGTGACTCAGGCACATCGGAGCCTCGGTCCCAATGACTTTCAATGCCTCCTAAGTGCCTATGTCACTTTGGAAAATGGGACTCAGGAGCCTAAGTCACTTAGATGCATTTGAACATTTTAGTCTCCTGGGAACTCCCCTGGAGTCAGCCTCTTCCTACATTACTCTGTGGGTTTGGTTTGGATTCTGGTATAATGTGTTTGGTTAATCATATTTTGCGCTCTTTGGGTACAGCACTGTGACCAGTATTGGGCTGTCGGGATCTGACTTTCAGGTGTCTGACTTCAAGACCCTTTGTAGAGGGGCAGAGCTGTTCTAGTGACTCACTATGGCAACCAGATCAGGAGGGTCTCATTAGCTCCAACTCCGATGCATAATAGGCTGAGAATTCCTTCAAGGTAAAAGAGCCAGAAGGAAGGGACAGGCAGGTCAAGGAACATCTCTAGGAACAGATGGCTCAAGCGAAGGCTTATGTCTGTAAGTGCAGTCCTGCCTCAGGGTTCTATTACATAAGTTAAAAATAAAGAAAGATTATGGAGCATAATCTATTGAGAGTGCTGCAGAGAGTGGGGTGGGGACTTCCCTGATTTACAAGAACCTGTCATCCACGAATGCCCAGACGCTTTGCAAACACTAAGCCTCATGACCCTGTGAGGTACCCATTTTATGATGGGGAAACTAAGGCACGGTGTCAAAGTGACTTGCCCAAAGCCATCCAGTGAGTCAATGACAGGACTAGACAGGAAAAGAACCCAGGAGTCCTCACTCAACCACTGGACAACATGGCCCCTCACATACCCCATGACATGGGTCCACATGAAAAAAAGAGTTTCATAATTACTGTAAAGCACCATCTCCAATTAATACGACCACAGTATCTCATATAATGGCTGTTTTGTGGTCCTCCAGCATATTACGGAAATTGGTTATGTGGCTCTGGGGGCTTAGAAAGTTACAGATCATTGCTTTAGAGATTAGCTCGGCAAGTGACCTGCTCCGTACAAGAGCACTGACTGCTCTTGGTTTACTCTGCTGTAGCAGCAGAATACTGACCCATGACAAGAGAAAACACGTGACCAACGCTACTTAAGAGCTACTGAAAGCAAAGGAGCTCTAGTATCTTCCCCAGGGCTATCCTCAGATCCAGGCTGAGTCCTTGTAGCTCAAACATCAGGCTTGGAAATCCTAGTGCAGTGGTCCCCAACCTTTTTTGTCTGGCGGGTGCCAGACGAGCCACGGAGGACCGTGGCGGTGGACGAGCATCCGCTGAAATGTCGCCGACAAGCGGCGTCATCCAGAGGCGTCGCCGCCGAAATGCCACCGCAGCATTTCGGCGGATGCTCATCTGCCGGCCAGTACGCGGGCGCACTTAGATGCCATGGCGCCCGCGGGCATTGTGTTGGGGACCCCTGTCCTAGTGGGTCAGATTCTCAGTCGGTGTAAATCAGTGTATCGCTGACATCAAGGGATAGGCTGACGTCCTCGAGTTGAGGAGCCGGCTCTGGGATGGAAAATCAGAGTACGTGCCCCAAAGCAAGTTCCAGGAACTGCTCCCTGAAAACGAAGCGAAGGAGGGGGTGTTAGCTTACAGCACACCTGGATCCGCAGCGAGACACACAGGTGAAGGAATGCGTGGGGGGGACATGGACACGGTGGGAAAACGATGGTGGGAGACAGATGCTCAGCTGGGGGCTAGCGTTCAAAGCCAGCAGGGACATCCTACTGTCCTAGCAGACTGCAGGATAAAAGCAGCACAAGGGTCTCAGAGCACGCAACCGCAGCACCCACTACCCCCAGCCGTGGGAAGAGGTGGCTTTTGGGACTCAACATACAGTGTGAGGTGGTACCGCCCTGGGATACCCAGCGGGCGGGGCATTGGCCATTCTTATCTTGGCCACACAGACAGTGGTAGCTTTAGGACAGTTCCTGAAGCCGCCCGATATTTACTTCTAGCTACGCTGCGCTGACCAGCAGCTGAGGCTCGCTTCTAATCCAGCGCCTGAGATCCGCCTTTGCAGCTGTCGCTCCTCTTCTATGGGGATGTTAGACCTGTTAACACTGGCTTCCTGTTATTCTTCCTCGCTTCCTTTGAAGAGCCTACTTGTCTGTCTAATAGCAGCAGGGAGAACGCAGTGGCCTCTTTTTCACTCTGTTTAAAGATTTTCATAGGAACGTTTCCTGTGGCGTTTATTTTATCTCTAGCGCATTACAAAGGTTAGCTGGCTGATCATTTACAAAACGTTCATGTCTACAGGCAGGGAGCCTTGCTCAAACGGGGGAGCTTTGAATATAACTGCACCAGCAGAAGAGGAGGGAGTAGGGACAAGAGAGTTTTAAAGGATCATACTGAAATGCAAACCGAACAGGTGGCAACGTGTCTGCGGTCCCTGCAGCAACAGATCCAAATCCCAGCCAGGCCATCTCGGTCCATCACCCCTTCAAGATCAATTTACTGAGCCCCATGCACTCACGGGGAGGGGACTTTCAGATAAGATCCTCAAAACTGAGTCAGCAGCCCCAACATTAAAGGTTCCATTATAGTTTCATATGAGTAGAGGTTTGACCCCAGGGTCCTTTGCCAAAACGTTCACTCCGCCACCCTAGCAGCTCCCCTCCCTCCACCCCAGAGCTGGCTGCATTTCAGCAGTCCCTGCATGAATATAATTTGTGAAGCGCTGTGGAACCTTTTCCAGTGAAAGGGACTAAAGAGACACAAGATAATATAGAGCATCAGTAGCTGCTTTCAGAGAGATTGCCCCTCTCCTGGGGGAGGATATTCCATTCACAGTTTGGCCATTAGGACAGAATGGTGCTCCCTAGGTGGTCCTCCACCCCAGCTGCTCACAAGATTCCAACTACACTAAGAACCAGATCCACTGCTGAGTGCCGAGACCATTCTAACTCATCACATAGCTGGGACAAAGCCCATCACTTTTACTGATTCAATCACCCTGCTGTAGCCCTCGTCAGAAAAAGGGCCAATTTCCGAGAGTAAATGGGGGGGCCTAGAGAGAGGGGACCACTGGCTATTGCGGAGAGCCAGGCCTGAGAGTTAGGACTTCTGGGTTCTACTCACAGCCTGGTCACTGAGCAGGATGGAAAGAGGCAGTCCTGGTGCCTGCTTGGTGATCTCCACGGCAGTTTTCAGAGAATTATGAGCCCCATCCAAACAAGGCTGCTGGGTGCCTAAAGAATATTCAAAGCTACTAGTGCTAAGCCAGTGACAAACGCTCCCAAACACACTCATCTTGCTGATGAAATCTCTCACCCGGGACACCTTCCTAGCCACGTTTCAAAGCTCCAGGTACTTCCCAGAGCGGTGCCCAGCCCAGCTGTGTGCTACTCACCCTAACATTAGAGCAAGAAAGTAGGAATATGAGCCGGGAACATGATCAAGAAGGCCATGTCCGTCCTTGCTTACAGGCCTGTCATTTAGGAATCATCTCATCACCCCTTACGCTCTGCGAACACAGCTGATTTACTGTATTCAAGAAATCTGAACACTTCTGCCCTTCTCTAAGGCCCTCAGAGCGAACCAAGCCTTGCCACATCTCGGGAGGCAGGTGTTCGCTCCATTTTACAGATGGGTAAACTGAGGCACAGATAGGCTTGTGCTTTCAGAAGGCGCCACTAATGTTGGCTGTCCACTTTGAGACACCCAGGCCTGATTGTCCAGAGGTGATGAGCACACAAAAACCCCATCGAAGCTGTAGGTGCTCACTACTTCCAGTGGGGAAAAAAAAAGTCAGCCCCTAGGTGCTAAAGGTGATCATCCAGATGTAATGGCCACTAAACTGTTGGCCGTGGGTTGTGCAGTGAGTCAGGAGCAAAGGCGGGAACAGAACCCAGATTTCCTGGCAACTAATCCTGCACCTTGCTCTCAAAAGCCAAACTCCCTCCTCCCTGGAAGAAAGGGGGGAAAAAAGCAGGAAAGGAAAATCAATGTGAAGGGGCAGTCATTCTGTGGGGATTGCAGGCATTAGCTCAGCAGCGTCCACAGGGCGCTAGGCCAAGCCAGAGCGGCTGGTGCTGCAGCCGGGGAAGGGGGGGGGACAAGGGAATCAAACATGAGTGTTTTAATCACAAAAAGGCCTTTTTATGCAACTCCTCTGAAGGGATGTGCACGGGGGGGGGGGGGGGGGTAGGGTGACCAAATGACAAGTTCAGCCAGCCCCTCCAACCGCACCGCAGGTGTCAGGGGAGCCCAGCAAGGGACAGGCATGACGGGGACCACAGCCGAGCAAGTGCAAAGAGGAGCAGAAACGGGGTCCCAGTGGCGGAGCTGCGCCCATGGAATTCTCCAGCGGTGGCTGCAGTGGGTGGGAGCCGGGCTGGGGGGAGCCGAGCTGGGCCGGGGGAGCAGTGGCAGCTCCCTGCAGCCCAGCTAGACCCCCTGCAGCACTAGACCCCCTGCAGCACTGCAGGGCAGAGTCTTTTTGTGACGGCCACCGCCAGGCGGCAAAGCCCCTCTCCACCCAACTCTATGGTGGCCGCAACAGCTGAGCGCGCCCCGGCCTGGAGCTGCCAAGCCCACGTGCTGCACTAGATCCCCGGGGCAGCCTGGCTCGCTTCCCGGACGCCCTCCCGCCCGAGCCGGGCCGCTTCGTGAGCCATGGGCGCGGCGCAGGAGGCCCAGGCCTGCCTCGCCTTCTACCGGGGGCTCGGGTGGAGGGAGCCGCTGCGGGATCTCTGCCGGGCCGTGCTCACCTTCCTGGAGAAGCTGGAGCAGTTCACAGGGTGAGTGCTGGGTGCCCCTCCCTCCAGCACTTGCGCTGCCATACAGCTGATCAGCGCAAGCCTGGGAGGGAGGAGGAATGCAGCGTGCTTGGGGAAGAGGCAGGGCCAGGGCGGGGATTTGGGGAGGGATCCAATGGGGCAGTGAGGGGGCGGGGCTTGAGGCGGGCCAGGGCGGGGATTTGGGGAGGGATCCAATGGGGGAAGGAGGGGGCGGAGTCGGGGTGGGTGGGTGGGGGGGGCGCGTGAGCCCCTCCGGGCTCTGCCTGTGCACCGGAGCAGAGGGCAAAATTGCTTGTTTGTCTGGTCATCCTGGGGGGGTGGGGGGGGGAGGGAGGGAGGGAGAAGAGGGCATACGGTTCTAAGATCCCAACCTTGCAAAGCATTAAAATTGCACGTGTGCTTAAAGCACGAGTGATCCCAGTGAAGCTTTAAGTGCACAGTGATCTGAATACAGCCGGGAAAGAGGGTTCTTACCTGTGTCCTGTCGGAACTGCATCAGGCTTGGTATGTCGATGACATAAGGGGCGAGCGTGGCATCTGCCTGCCCTAACGGGATACTGCTGCTGGCCAGCCCGGTTCCCGATCGTCTCCCCTTCTGCGCAGGGGTCTGGAGAGCCTGTTCGATAAAGCTGCATACGCTCCCTCTGTATGGCCTCCACCTGCCGAACTCGTCCTGCCATTCCCATACAGCCACTGCGGGCAGGGCGGCATGCCCTGGCACGGAATTGGGGAGCCCAGGTGGCCCAGCAGAACTGCTTCCGGCACCCAGCGCTGCTGCCATTTTCCACGGTCTGAAAGCGAGCCAAGTCAGAGCGCGTTGTTCACCCACCTTCAAACCATCCTCTTCAAGGGCGGATGTCAGGCCTGCAAAGAGAGAGAGAGACAAGACATACAGAGCTAATAAATACATTTGTTGGTCTCTAAGGTGCCACCAGGACTCCTCGTTGTTAGAGCGAAGAATGACAGCCCTGAGCTAACAGCAGGCAATCCTGCAGGTAGGTGGCAAAGTCTACACACCCGGGGGGAGGAAGTGCATGTGTCTCTCCATGAAAGATAACTGGGAGGTGAAATCGCTGAACAATTCACGGGGCAGTGGTAACTCAGAAGCGAATCAATTTCAAAACCAGCAGGTTAAATGTAGTTTGGGGGTCCTACCCAGGCCTGAATCCTGCTGCCAACGTTGGGGGGTTTACAATCAAACCGACAGCGTAAGCGTTTGGGGGCAAAGACTCTCAGTGTTAGACCCCAAGCACGTCGTCAGCACTGACAAGCAGGCCAACATGGGGCGTAACAGGAACCCAGGAGTTCCAGTGTTATTCGTTATGGGTGTTGCAATAGATCTCGAGGCCCTGGATCTGGGATCAGACCCCCGTTAGCCAGGCTCTGCACGTGCGCGCACACAACCAAAAACCAATCGCTACCCTCCCCCCAGTGCCGCAGTCAAAGGGTCAATCTGTGTATCACACGGTATGCTAACAGCCTTCTTAAAACAACATGGGACCTGAAGAGCAGGGCACAATGTAACCAACAGAGCAGCCATCAGTCGGCTGGCAGGTTTCTTTCATCACAATCAGAGGCATGTATCCGGTGAGATGCAGGTAGCAACGGAGCGTCCACTGGTGTACACAGGCTCTGCAGAGCTCTTTGGGATGTAGGGCAGCCCAGGCTCCCGTGGGCGCAGCACCCACCCCTGAGGGGTGGGTGCTGTGGTTTGTTATCCAACTCATCCATATGGAATAAAGCATGGACACCCAGATGGCTGCGTTCACAAGAGGAGAGCGATGCATTATAAAGAAAACGATAGCTAATGAGTCATTCCTGTGCAGTTCTACTCAACGCCCCCGGGCTTACGAGCCGCCACCGGCAAATGAGACCCCCCGCCCCCCAGATCATTTGATTAAAAAAGAAGAAGAATCTTGAGACATTTGCTGCTATCACTTAGCACCCCCCAATGCCCCAGGGGTGGTTATTTTACAGCTTGGAATTACAAGTCACTTCAACAAACCCCAGGTGCAAAATCTCGACACCTGCCTCGTGCGCTATTTTTACGTTGGATTTCACACACTACTACTCAGCATTGCCGAGCTCAGCTTGGATCATCTCAGTTCAGAGCTCTGCTGCAGAGTTTTCTATCCCATCGGGTGCACAACGTTTGCAAGCAGGGGGTATGCTGCACCCCACGGGAAAGGGACCCCCGTACATAAAGGGCTCCTGCCTTTCCAAATATACAGTGGCCTGGATGCCCATCAGCAAAGCAGGCCATCAGGGGGAGGCGCTGCTTTGGAGGGGGGTCACACCATTGGTTTGTGCTCCTTTTAAAATGTAGTGGCAGCAGAAACAGATCTATTAACACTTTCTCTTACGTGGTAGCTTTCCCCCAAAGCACTCCAGCCTCAAAACCCAGGTGGGGGCAGACGTCCTCCTTACCTACTGTACAATGAAATCCTGGGTCATGATTGGCTGAAAAGGGTCATGTAACAAACAGTCTACTGTTGACCTCCAAGGAGGTCAACAATGCTTAGCTATCCGGAGGAGCAGCAGCTGCCAATCAACACTAAATATGCAAATCGGGACATCCTGATTGGCTGCAAGTGAGTTCAGTCTAAATGAAAATTCACTTCCTAGTAGGTAAGTGATACTGTTTCCTGGATCAGAAAACTGACAATCTAAAGGGGTGGGGGCTTCCCAGTTTATGCACCTAAATGGAATTCTGGCCTACAGCTGTTTGCAAGGATTGTGAAATAACAAACGCAAGTTCCACGTCTTGGGCAAAGCGCTTTGGCAACTTGAAGTTAAGGCTGTATGTTTCTATTAGTTACTGAAGGGTATCGGGGTAGGGGATTCCTAAGAGAAATCTGTAGTTTCCTTTTCGTTTTCATTAAAACAAAACACTCAATCCATCCTTCCCCCTCCGCCCAAACAGTGACACACAAATTTTAGAAAGCCTGGAAATCCAAAGTTAAGGTCACCCACACCCTGAACTGTGATCCTCACCCCTTGCATATCTACCGTTATTGCGTGTAAGATGGAAACAGTTTGAGGTAAATTGTGATAAGGACTTTATGAACTTCTCAGTCTGGTATCTAACATCCACTGCATGTGTGTCACTGACCTGTAGAGTCATGGAACAGTGAAGAATACGGCTGTGGTTTTGTATGAACATATCTACCACAGATCTCCCACGAACCCACATGCCTATTGTGTCAGCTACTAAATTCAATGGTCCAGCTCTTCAGAGATCTGCAGGCCCAAATCTAGTAGCTACATGTTCTGCTGTGAGATTTAGCACCGACAAGTTTGCTTTTAGTTTTAAAAAATACCTTCTCCCCTGTTAACAGCACTCTAGATTGTAAGTTTCTAGTTTATTTTTCACCATTTATACTACTTGATTATTAACTTGGGCTCCCATCCAGCAATCTGACCCGTACGGGTGGATCTCTGCCTCTGGGGCAGAGCCCCATGTAAGGATCCACCCACCTGGATTTGACTGGAGGACTGGGGACTCTGACAACAAAAGAAGTTTGGTAAATTTCCATTTTTTTCTTCTTCACAGTCACTTCCTGCTTCTCAAGCCCTAGCAGAGAGCAGCAGAGCTGGGTTCACAGCATTACCATGCAACCTTCAAGCCAAAAGTCTGTTTCCACTGAAATTTAAAACAAAAGCTGGAGAAAAACAAACAAACTCAACAACTATTCAGTTGTGTAAAAGCCTTTTTAAATACATAAAAATCTGAACTTTGGCTCTACAATCCAGCTGACAATGTCCCTTTAAAATGTCTGAATTGAACTCATCAGTGGTAATAAAACCTCAATGACAATGTAGCCTGCCTCACAAGTGGAAAAGAAAAGGCCAGGGAGCCCTAGATCCGTGCTGTGGACGTAGGCAGTTTTCAAGTGCCGACAGAGTGGGATTCTTTTAAAGCACAGGGCTCTTCAGCATGTTATTCGAACAGGACAATGCCCAGGAAAGATTTGCAAGGATCACTAACACCACACTTAGGAAACGCGAGGTCTGCAAACAAGCGACTACATATCGTCACAGTGAATGGATTATATTTGAATTAAAAGATTCCTAGGTGTCTAGGTTACACTAAGCCAGGGGTCTGCAACGGGCTTACAACTCAGCATCAGGAGGGCGCGTTTGTTACAGGACTGCAGGCGGCCCATACCCTCTGCCATTCGGAAACCCCAAAGGGAAGATCAAACTAACAGCCTGGCTGCTACGTGTGGTGCTTGCCAAGCCCCACAGCAAATCAACTGAAATTTTAGTTTCATTCTGCTGTGAATTTACAGAAGCAAGAGAGGCACTACCATGACCATCAGCCATTGTTCAGGGCTCTCTGTGGGTGCCGGGGGAGATACCGGGAAAGAAACAGGAGTCTCCACAGCTGTAGAGAAATCTCAGGTACTTGCGCTGTTCCTGGGCACTGCAGGCCAAATCCGGCCCAGCCTGATCCCACCTGGAGCAGCCAGGTGAAATTTACTAGGATCATATCCGTTTTATTCATAGAGTTTAAGGCCAGAATTCTGATCACCTGGTCTGACCTCCTGCATAACACACGCCAGGGACCCTCATCCGGCGATTTTTGCATCAAACCCTTAACTTCTATGTGGGCTACGGTATATCTTGCAGAAAGATATCCAACCCGGGCTCTGGAGTTCAGGGAATGCTATGGCCTGTACCCCCAACTTGACCTGGGATTCATGGGCGAGAAATGACCACAGCTCTTGCTTAGGAATCAGGAGACCTGGGTTCTATTCCCAGCTCTGCCACTGACCTCTAGTGTGACCTTGATCAACTCGTTACCTCTCTGTGCCTCTGTTTCCCCTCCCACCCTTTGTCTGCTTAGACTATAAGCGCCTTATTGTTTCTGTCCAGTACCTAGCACAACAGGCAAACAGAACCAGTAAAATGATTAGCCAGAACGAGGGGTGAGAGACCCTGAGCAAAGAGGATAGAAGACGAGATAGAAGGATTTTGGTCAATTCTAGGGTAGCATTTGTGTCTGCATTTCTCTTGGCCATCAGCGACACTCACGCATCGGAAGAGATGAACACCGCATTGCTCATATCCACTTGCATAAATACCACTGGGCATTTACAATCATCCGTCGATAATTCGCTACCCTCAAGGTTCCTTTCAGAGCTAATCTCCGGCTGTAATACCAAAGGGAGTTTCCGAGGTAGAAATGCAGACCCACCTGGATACTAGAGAAAGTATTATTAGCGAACGTAGAGAAGGAAATCAGACAAGAGAGAACTGAACTGTACGCTAGTTCTCCACGCTATGCAATGATAGCGCTTTCACAACAATTACAAAATGAAGACTGCAACCTGATTCAAGGACATCGGAATGACTTTCCAGCTCCAGAGCCTTTTCACCATCATCATGAATTGTTAGTATTTACAGAAGAGGCCTCCACCAAGCTCAAGAGACACTAAGGCTACACACACTGCGAGCTGGGGTTTGAGTCCCGTGCTCATGTGCCCATTGTACCCCATAGTCTTCAGAGTGATATTATTATATGATTACGGCATAATTATGATGCATTTTGTACAAGGAGGTGTCACTGGAAACGTTATGATTTTGCAGAATACGATTATGTTATTTGTATGCATGTATCATTTTTGTATCTGAAGTTACGACTATTGACTATGTATCTGTAGGCACACCTGGTAAGTAATGGCTGCTATAATCCAGCAAGGTATGTGGCCAGGCTACCTGACACGGAACTCCAGCTCGGATACCAGTGTTGTTCCACAAACGGAGTTTGGGACCAAGGGTTCCTGCCATATGCTAAAGCTATACAAGGCAGAGTGTGGCCTCACTGGTTGTTCTTCACTCCCCCCCAGCTGAACTCC